CGGCAGCCCGGCGATGAATGTTAGCCTGGGAGCACAAAGGAGTTTATCGGTGTTGATTTTCTGCCCTTTGAACTGCTAAGGGCTGTGCGCTGTGAGGAATAAAGAGATTAGATCTGAATTCTGAAGGTCTGGCTGTTTGTTTGTCTGCGGCTGTGGGCTTGAGAAAAGCCTCTTTTAGGTAAAGAGGCAGAGTCATGCAGGCGGCTCCTGCCTGAAGTGGCTGAGCTAGATGCGATCAGGATGTTGAGGACACTTGGGAGGGGATTGTGCTTTTTGCCTTGCAGAATGCCTGGGCCTCCTTGGCATTTAAATATTGCTGAGTGACTCCTGGAGCTTAAGGGTTGTTTCATTAAGAAAAATAAATGCTGTGGCTTCCTTAAGTTGATGCTGAATCACTTGTGTAGTCTTCTGCTTGTCTTGGGGGGAAGGACCGCTCAGTGGTAAAAGACAGCAGAACTTTAATCCACTATCTCCGCTGCTTGGGTTTCCAAGAAAGCCTGCAAGTGTTGCAGTTTGTGTTTTGCAAACTTAAGGGCTCCTACTGGAAACACAAAAAAAATCAACCAACTCTTGGGTTCTCACTTGGATTGTCAGTGGGTTACTTGAGGGTAACTAGCAGCTTGAGCGTTTCTGTACCAGAGTTTCAGACTGATCATTGCAGAGCGGTCTGCCCCAGAGCATCTCAGCTGGGCAGAACAACTGTCTCCAAGAAACAGCTCCAGCCCCTTGGTTCCTAAGGCTCTGAAGGTGAGCACCAGCAAATGCTCAAACCGTAGGTGTTGAGTATTATTTGTACCGGACTATACTTTACATCGCTACTGCCTTGTACTGGGCAGGTTCACACTGAGTTTCAATGCCTATGCCTTATTTCGGTGAGCAATACCATAATAGTATAATTGCAGTCCACTAGCATATGGTGGGTGCAGCCTGTGAGCTGCTTTCATTGCTGAAAACAAAAGTTAATGGTCATGTAAGGCAAGTTGTTTTTGGCTTTGCTGAGAGGGGCATTGACCGGGAGACACAAAGGCGATTGTACTGAAATGTACAGCCACTTCGTTCCTCCTTCAGAGCCTTCCTTGAAACAGTCCAAAACAAGCTTCCACAAGCCAGCCAAGTTCATACGAAATCAACAGGATGTGGAAACCCGATCTTCTTCAGGCTCTGGCTTCTTGGGAGGACACTCCAGCTTTCCTTGTGAACTTAGCTTCGGGGCATTAGTTACTGACTAAATCCTGCTGAGCAGAAGTTGCTTAAGCAGTAATTCATGTGTCACACCAGTTCAGGCACATGTGTAAGATCAGTTCATTAACACACTTCTAAAGCATGTTGAGTGAACGATCTCTGACTTCACAATATTTGAAAATACAGTTTGAATCTGCTTGTCCCAGAAAAGACTTACAAAAATAGACAAAACGACAGGGCCTCTAATGATCCACCAGGTATTGGCATTAGTGTTAATGTCCCAACACCTGTAAAAATAGAGGAGAAGGTGCAGTCAGTTATGAAAACACTGGTGTCTTTTCAAAGGGGTTTAGTCTGGTTTGCACGTCAGATAGGCCTCTATTCCTTTCTTCTACAAAATAAATTTCCTGTTCTCACTTAGTTGCACAACATTTCTGACTGTCCACCTGCACAGGACAAAAGTACATCCTGCCCTTCAAGTACAACCACTGTTCAAAATTTCGGAAGGGAGAAGAGAAAGGAACAAAGTTTCAGACATCAGAAAGTCAAATAGAGATGCTGAAAACATTGTAGGCTGAATTCATACTTGAAGGCTACCTCCTATCCTTGAAAATGCTCGAATGAAATTTGAAGCTCTTTCTCAGCTGGACCTCTACTCCCGCCCATGCCAGGATCCAGGCTTGCACCGCAGCGGGGTGGTGGTTCGTTTACTTGGCTGCCAGCGGTTAGGAATGAGCAGGACCCCGTGGAGTCAGGGCCTGCACAGGGCTACATGCTCCCCCCAGCATGCCACCTCACCCCTCTCCATGCAACTTACCCAATATTTTCGTGGAGTTGCCTCGCAATCGCCCATGCAGCCACAAACACAGTTGGGGCACCTGTGATGGGATTGGAAAAGCTAGTTACTGCTCCACAAGTCGATCCCAAAGGCAAAACAAACCCACAGTTATTCTTACTGAAAGGAGAACCAGTACCCCATCCAAGGGCGATGAACCACCAGAGGAACTTCCTTTCTGAGAAGAAAGAAATAACCAGGAGAGTGTGGAGGTACAGTCCCTCCACGAGGAGCCAGCTGTAGTTGGACATGATGCAATACTGAAAGAAGACCATGGTGAGCTTACACCCAGCCTGAGGAAAGAGAGGATAATTAGCTTCTGCCTGGGTTTGTATCTACCTATTAACAGAGAGCAAGCTGTAAATAAATCTTGGCAAATCGAGATTTTAGAGCAATTAAGGAATTAGGGGACTATACAGGTGGCCTGAGACAGGTGTTCACATGACAAGAAAGCAGGGCTGGCACTCTTAAGTGCAGTAATCAACTCCCTCACTAGCAAGAACCAAATATGTCATGGACACATGGGTTTGGGCTATTGTCTCACTTAGAGGAGTTTCACTATTCCTACTTTATTAGTACTAATAGCACTTATATCACCTTAGAGAAGCACGTGAATGTATTTGTCAGTCTTTTTTTCCTAAGAAAAAAGGTTGATAAAGACAAGTTAAAATTTGCTCAGATTGTTCTTGTTCAGCAATAAAAACCCAGCAAAACTGGGGAGGTAAAAAAAAAAAAGGCTTTTTTTTGTTTTATATTTCCCTCCCTAATTCTTATCTTTTGGTTTAAAGCATTCAACATTGTCTCCAGTGTTCAACACCCCCCCCCCCCCCTCAGTTTTCAAGATATTTTGCTGCCAATAAAAAGAAAACAGGAAAAAACAATTCAAAATTTGGGAGGTTCCTTTTCCGGGCTCTCTGAGTGCAAACCCAAACCCATATCTTACTATGAGGTCTCACACTGCAGTATAAGTCAGAAATATTTTATGTATTCTTGTACTCTTCCTGCCAGCCCCAGAATCTAAAATCCATGCATGAATCTCCACCCTGGTAGTGTATCCTGTGTTCACAGCCTGAGATACCCATGTTTAGGCATTTCTGGGTCAATGTGCTGAACTCCTGGTGTCTTCTGTGGCCATCTATCAATGCAATTGAGATGACGAATGCAGGTACCTGCTTCAGACTGACCTGGATGTCCTCTGCTCCAACACTTGTAAGGGCATCTATAGCTGGGAGAAACCACAGCTGGGTTTCTGTGTGTATGCTCCAGCCTGGGCTGCTTTTGCATCCCCATGACTCCCTCACCCACGCGTAATACTCCCAAACAGGGAAATCTCAGTCAGGAACAACTAACACGTGGGATCGAGTGACGGAGGAGGGTCAGTGCATACGTCTCTTCTCCCATAACCCCACACAGAAATCTGGGATGGGGATTTCCTTTCCTGCAGACTAACTGTTGCTAGGATTCTGCTGGGAAACTGAGGCATGGAGCAAGCTGGAAGGCAGAGGGTTACCGTGTATGCCCCACAGTAATTTGTGTCTTCAGAGGAAAACAAAACAGCATCCTTGATAAAGTTGGACGATGCTCGCAAAATGAACGATGTGAAGAGATGCATGTGAATGTAGTTCCTCGTACAGCGAAGTCTTCTGTTACAAAAAGACAGAGACATCCTGTGAAGTTAATGCCTAGCCAAAGTGGGTAGCTTATGACTCTAAACAGCAGGCTTCAATCCTTATTAATGCTAAACTGACAAATTAAGAACGCTGTTTTTCTCTCTGTGAAAGGAAGACTAATGCATTTCCCAAGAGTGATATCCTAGAGAAGACCTTAAAAAGCTAAAGTCACATCTGCTCCACTCAGGTACTAAAACAAGCTGAATGTTGCCAGAAGAATTGCGATTTCACACCAATATACGTGGTCTAGCCTCCTCCCTCCTTTCTGAAGTAACACGAACCCAAGGTGTTTATCCACACCTGGGTGGGTTTATTTGGTTTGCCTGCACAGTGCACTTGTGCCTGCAATGTTTTCTGTACTAAATCTCCACATAATATGGATCTGGAGACTGTGCAGCTTGAAGACAAGTTTGCAAAGTGGCTGAGGTTCCTTCTGCCCAGAGGTGCCTCCCTGACTCTTACTGGAAGGGAAATTCATTTCACTGAATAAGCAGTAAAGTACAAATTCCAGGTTATAAGGATGCGTGACGATAAGCCGACTGTCAGATCACTGCTGTAAACCTGAAACAAGTTCCCAGAAGTCAGCGCAGCAGCACTTAGAGCAAAGTTTTAGCCACAGTCTCAAGCGGGGAAAAGAACAGCAAGGGGAAAGACATCCTGCCTGAGGGACGCTGAAGCCATGGGAAGACCTCAGCAGGGAGGTGGTGCAAACACCAGTCTGAAAAATGCATCCAGCTACATTTTGGAAAGGACAGGAGAGCACAAAACGAGGAGCAGCTCTGACATTTTCTGGGAGACAAGACTCAGAGATCATTTTTGTCACCGATTTCTGGGAAGGTTTTCAGAACTACTTCAATTTTTAACTTGCCCTGAAAGCCAACAAGAAGGATCTGTGTTGGCTGAGATGACCAGAAGTCCTGGCCAAACGCAAACCAGAGATGCTTCTCCTCACCTAAAAGAGGCCAGGACCACTAAGGCTATCGTCAATGTCACGAGGGAGGTGCAGTACCCGACGGTGTACATTGTCTTCAGAGTCATGAAATAGGAGCGCTGCAGGGAAACATATATTCACATCTTTACCTTTGACTGTCTGGTAGAAATCAACCCATACCAAGAGAAGGGTGCCTCCTCCTATTTAACAAATAAATTTTCTTGTAAAATCAGCTACTGAAGTTTTACCCTCAGCAACCCATTCTGATCATTTGGAGGCAGCATTTATGCTGAAAAACACCTCTAACAATAACCCCACCTGAGTTAAATCACAAAATCATCCAGTCTCTCCCTAAAATGTTCCTCCCCCAGGGCCCCGAAGCAGCAGATCGGTGGTCACAGACGCTCAGACTCACTCTCGCCTCGTTGGTTGTGTCATTGACATTGTAGCCACAAGCAATATCGGGTCTCGGATATGGGTCTGACCAACCCTCACTCGTACAGTTTCGGTAGACAAAACCTGTGTGGTAACAACAAGAACAAAAAAGACAAAATCAGGTGTGATCGTTTCCAATTTTATCTTTGTTCTCCTTGGGGGTCCGTCACCAACAGGTAGGGTTGCTCCAAGAGCAAAGAGAATATTTTCCCACAGGCAGTGCACTCTGCATAGCTGGAGGTGAAATGCAGCTGAGCTAATTGTGTTGATACTTGCCCAGTGTACTTGTGTGGGTCATAATATTGTTTGCCAACTCAGGGATGACTGTGATGGATGTGTTTTTATTAATTGCAACATAAATAATACTGTTCAGTACATCTGGTGTTTCTTGGCTGGTATTCCAAGGTCAGCAAACATTAAGACTTGTTCAATAATAGATTCATACTCAATGCAAACCTGATAGTTTCCTGAATGCTCTCACCTCCTTACTGTGGTTTGTCATGGTCTGAAGACAACACAGAACTTTAAATGGTCACAGATTTTTGGTGAGATGTAAATGTAAACTAAAAGGCTTTTCCTCACAGCCAGGTCTGAGCATTATCTTACACTGTTGATTTCCTTGCTTACTTGCAAATTAAAAGCTAGGATGGGATTCCTCTAACTTCAGTTAGACTTCTGAAAGCTCAATGCTTGAGTCCAACTGTGTCCCTCATGTCTGTCTTTCTAGTCAGTGCAGGAAGAGAGGCACTTGCAGAATTAATCTTATTTTCAGACAGACATCATCAGAGGGCAGTTTGTCTGACCCAGTTCTGCTGGGATGTCTGATGTTTAGGCTCCTAAAGCTGAGTGAGATGGATCCCCAGCAAGTTGCACATGGTTGAACAGGACAGGTTTGAACACAACTATATTCATGTTTGGCACTAAAGTGGAAGTGGGAAGTCCTGCCCTACACACCTTACAATCTCATTGGAAGAAAATGACCCTAGCAGGCATATAGGTTACGCACTGAAAAGAAGAGAAATTTTTACAAAAGAGTAAAACCACTGCCCGCTGTCCTAATCACGTTCATCTGTCAGGTAGGAGCTACACCAGAAACATGGAGTGAAACCCTGGCTTTGCTGCAGTAATGGCAATACTAGCAAGGACTTAGAGCGGGTTGGAAATCAGCAGCCCTTTGTAGTAGAAGACTTAACAGAAGGCACCATAAAAGTCTATTTTTGCCCACATGTTGAGCCACAGGGACTCTAGAGCATACAGTTCCTGCAAAACATCCCTGCAGTGTTGAGGGAACAGAGGGAGATGCATATGCAGCAGTGTTTGGCACTGGTTTATGTTCTGTGGAGCCCTGCTAGGACTGTCAGGACAGAGTCAGAGCTCCTGCTACCTCTGGGCTGATTCTGATGACCTGACAGCATGTCTGCACTTGGCTTGAACTCACCTCTGTAAAACTGTAAGGCACAGCAAACATGCTGAGATCTCCAAGTGGGAAGAGCTCTGGGTGTGTCAGTATCGGACTATTATTCTGATGCTTTTAGGAACATGTTGTTCCAGCTTAGCGTCTTGGAAGGCCAGGCTTGCTTTTTATATACCCTGTTTTCTATACCCTGCTGCAGTGCAGCAACAGCATGAGAGAAACAGCTCTCCCAAACAGTTCTCCCCAGCCTACCTTGGCACTCAGCAAGGGAGAGGTACGGTGGCAAATTATCTACCTCAGCTTCAATTATTAAGACACACATACTTAGAGTGTTGTGCTTGTAAACATGCGTGTAACTGGTTTTGCCTGAGGATGTCAAAGTAGATCAGAAAGAAGAAGTGAAGCTCTGTGCTGGTGTGCACACGTGATCACGTTATATGCAAAGCATGGGAGATTATGAAGGGTATCTTACACTGATGGGCTTGAGCACAATTTTAATAATGCTTCTTGTGTGGGTGACACATACACTGGGAAAACTGCAGCATGCCCCGCTCAGAGCAGGCTCGAGGTCTGCAGTCTGTCTAAGGATGGGTGCTTGGTCTTTCCTACTGCCTTGGAGGCTTTCGGAGTCGCCTAGGCAAGGGGCAACACTGGCCAAAGGGATGGCTGTGGAACTGGGGCTATCCAAAGTGATCTTCTCCTCTGCCTCCGAATCCCCACAGCTGCCACACCTTTCCTCATTTCTTGTCTCAGACACAATGCACAGGTCTGGATGTGAACATCAGTTTTGTTACTTGGTTCCAGATCATTCTGTTCCTTTGGTCTGTTATGTGAGAAGGGGCCAGACAGTCTGGGCTGCAAATGCAAGTCTAGATGTCAGCACAAAGCTCAACAGCACAGAGACCAGGGTTCGGTCAGGGCTCAGAGCTATCTGCGTCCCTTAACGCATGAGTCTGGCATTTGCAGCTGCCCATCTGCTTTGTAAGTGGTAAAGAGAGAAAACTTTTGCTTTTTTTTCAAGTAAACAGATCTTTGTTTTTCTTTTGCAAAATTGCACCAAACAGAACAACTGTAACAGTAATTAAAGGCATGAGTCACAAGCCAACCACAGTATAAAATCAGAGAAGAATGTGGCTATGAGAATGAGAATAAACTATTGCTGACTTTGACCAAAATGCCAGATGCAGAGACCGAAATAAGATGCAAATGCTAATGGACCATGTCTTGGGTTTCTGTTTTCAACGCTGTCACTCTGGTTATTGCTTATCAGAAGTGGTTCAGCTCTCAGCTTCTTGATAAGAAGGGCAACTAAAGTTTAAAGCTGTTAGACTATCTCCAAGATAATGCAATACACATTTGAGATGTAATTATGACCTTTGGATGTACAAATTCCTGTTTTCCTCCCCGGTACGAAGGCCAGAGGCAGGGAGCAGTTCCCTCTAGTGGCTGTACCAACAGAGATTTCATTTAATATGCTTAAGAGCCGGTATCACTATGCTGAAGATTTGTGAGCGCACGCCAGGCAGATGATTTCCTCAGCAATCTGTGTCTTTATATAGTTTATTCTCTGTCTTTAAACCAGATTATAGGATTCAATGGGCAGCTACTCTTTGTGTGTACAGAAAGTAGCACAGTATTATTTATTTTAATCTGAATGGCTCAAACGATTCTATGTCTGATTTTATTTGAAGAGCACTAAGTGCTTCTCCTCTAACTTATCTAATCTTTA